GAAAAAGAAATAGTTCCTCTGGAAAAGGAATCACAAAAAGGAACTGACTCAGAAGATGAACTATATGCTTATTCCTTTCCCAAAAGGCATTGGGAATATCTGAGCAAATTGTTTGAACAATATGTTCTTGTATTTCTTGTATTTTTTTTTGTATATCTGGTTGCTGAATTTTCTCAGCAATCTTTTTATAAGATATTTCTTTTGTAAGTGAATTTAAAAAACTTTCTTTTCTTTTTATTTGTTTTAGTAAAACATCAATCTCGTGATAACGAGGTTGTGTAGTAAATTGAAATGTTATTTCTTGTGATTTTACAATACTAGTAATACCTTTCTCATCCACATTTTTTATAGGGCAGAGCATGTGTAAGAAAGGATTTCCCAATATAATATCATGGGATAAATTTTTTACCATTATAAATGGCATTTCTATACAAATTCCATTATTGCAAATTGCAGTATTTTGTAACTTATATTTTACTATAAGTTTTCTACCATCTGCAGCATTCAGAATTTCTGAGGTTTTTGAGAAGTACCTAGAAGGTATAAGTCCTTCATTGATGCAATTTAGATCAGCACCAGAGTCAACCATAGCAATTGCAGAGAAGGAATATTCTTTCCAGACAATTATAGTGACTTTGATATGCCATTTGTGAGTGATTACTCTGTCAATCATATTAATATAGGTTAATGAATTTAATCCATCTTTTTCTTGAGAAGTAGTTGGACTAGGATCTAAGTCTTCCTCTTCTTCTGATTGGTTAGAAATATTCTGAATTCTTTTTAATTCTAATACTGCTATTCTAGATTTAAGAGAGCGTAATTCTGTTTTTAGTTCTTTGACATCATATATTAGTTCACTAATACATGTGTCTTCGGGTTTTTCTTCAGAGTTTTTTACTCTGTTAAGAATTTCTTTTATGTTATAAGCTTCGGGTTCTTTAAAACGAAATTCTTTATCAATATTTCCTTTTTTGGAATAATTCTCCAGATATTTCTGAAGTATTTCTCTTTACTCTGTAGGATCTGTAATTTTATCTATAATATCAAGAATAAAATTGTCTTCTTTTGTCAGAACAAATAATCCGTTAGCCTGACATAAGGTTTTATAATAGTCGCAATTTCCTTCACAATCAGATTTTTCTGATTCTATTTCTGATTGGTTAGAATCAGATTCATATTCTTCATTTTCATTCTCTATTAGAGATACTTGAAGATTAGTTTTATCATCCTCAGAGTCAGAAAGGAATAATTTTTCCAATGTCTTTTTGAGCCCTTCATCAATAGATAGGCTATTAATTTTCTTTTTCATTTTACACTTATTAGCATAATGGCCAACCTTATGACAACGCCAGCAGACGTGTGTTGTCTTCTGCTTTGATGGTTGGGCACTGTTAGTCCCATGTTTGTGGTCTTTTGACCTTTTCTTTTCTCTCTTTTCTTTCAGGGGAAAATATTTATTGTTAGAAAACTTATTAATTTTAGTTTTCTTTTTCTTTTCAGATGTCTCTGAACGAATAGGTGGTAGTCCCATTTGTTCACAGAAATCTCCTATAATCTTTTTCCCTAGGATTTTATCCTTTTGAATTTGTCTATGTAATTTTATTTCATTACATAGGTTTATTCCTTCTGATGTGATTTCAGAAGCAAGATCACCATAAGTGTAAAGGGAGTAAGGAATAACTCCATTATGTTTTTTCTTAATTCTGTTACGGATTTTTTCAGCAAAGAAGTGTGGTAATCCGGAAAGAAATTTTTCTTTCCAAAAATCTTGTTGGCTGTCTGCTCGTGTAAAAACTTTTGAAAAGAATACATCTTTATACCACTTGAATTGGGATAAATTGTGGCATCTTAGATTCATTAATTGTTCTTGAGTTTTCTCCAATAATAAGGATGTAGTGCCTATGAAATGTTTGGCTATTGTATATAACAATGTGTTAACACTATCATTAGTATTAATTGGTTGGTTATTAACCATTTCAGTTTTCACTGCCTGAAGTATATGAGCTTTAGCTTCTTCAGGGAGGTAAAAGTCCCACCAACCTTTTAGTTGGCCGGTAAAACCTTGTATTATAATTTTTGCAATATTTTGGTCTGAATTACCATTTGATTTACATGCTGTGGCAAACATAGTCATATAATGTATGACTGTCTGGATTTGGTATTCTGACATACCATCTATATTCCATTCATTAATAGATCGACCGTCGAATTGAACAGTCATATAATCATCATGTTGTTCCAGTTGAAGGTCAACTGGAGTTTGTCTATGATAATAGGGTTTTGCTGGAATATTATAAACTAACTTCTTTTTATAAGAAGATATCTTATTCACCTGATAAGGTGTTTGTTGTTCTGTTTCAAACATACGTTGTAATTGATTTACTTGGTCATCAGTACCTTGCTCATCTTCTGAGTCAGTTCCTTTTTGTGATTCCTTTTCCAGAGGAACTATTTCTTTTTCTTTTATGCCAAGATTTTTTAATCTTTTGACAATTTCATCCACCATTTCAGATGATTCTTGAGTTTGTAATTTAAACTCAGTATTTTCTGTTGACATTGGTTTAAACAAAACCTTTTGTTCTATTTGTAAAGGTTTGGATGTTGACTCAGTATAAGCTACTTTTTGCTCAATACAGTTTAATTGATTACCAATTGATTGAAGAGAGAGATTTGTAAAATTGTTCTGTTCAACAACAGCTTCGATAGTACTACCTTTCCTATATGGTGTAGCAATAACTTCGTCTTTGTCAATTTGAACAGTTAAATTTGCTGCAGGGGGATGAATACTTTTAACAAGTGTTCCTCTTTTTGTAATGTAATTTTGAAAAGTAGATTCAATTGTAGAAATACATCTTGGATCATCAAATTGAGGAAAGTGACGTTTTTCACTATGGTAAAATATTTTTAAAAACTCAAAGAAATCAATTATTTCTTCTGTCGTTTTAATAAATTTTTTATATAGCATAAACCATTTTTTCTGTCCTTCAAAATTCTTTTTGGAGTAGAACCATTTTCTTTTAATTTCATTTTCAGGAGAATAAAATAATTCTTTTGCAAGTCCTTGAATCGGAAATTCTAATTCTATTTTTTCTTCAACTGTTAATGTGTTAATACCATAAACACTTCTATCATCATACCCCATGTCTGATGGAGTAGGTGATTGCCTTTTAGGAATATTTCTGGAAGTTCCAGATGTTGAGGGTGGTAATTCAACCTTATATTCTGGTTGATTTACTCCGTCTGTAGTGAATTTTGTTCCTAACAAGTTATCTCTTTCAAACTGTGAAATAGGAACTGAAGAGGTAGATTTTCGTCCTAGATTAAGGTGAGCAATTCTCTGATTAGAGAATTTAATTTCAACATCTCCATCTGGGTATTCAATAATTTCTTCTAATTCTCTATTTTCCTGTTTAACAGGTTCAGAGGCTTTTTCAAGTACCCATTTTTCGGGTAAATTGACTTGGTCCCAAGTGATTGTTTTTGGGACTTTTAAATTGGATTTTGCTTAATTAGTAATAAATAGAGTTGTATAACCCCTATGTTGTGTAGGAATTTCTTTAATACGGGGAATTACCGTATTCATAACTTTATATTGAATTCTATAAATAAGAATTATATTCTCTGCTCCTTGCATCATATTAAATCCTTCAGATTTAATATCTAAGCATAAGGCATGCATTAAAGTTGGGTCAGTGAGGGATAAAGTGAAGTTTGGAAAACATGAAAAATAAATTGGTCCATCACATAAACTAGATTCAACTATTCCTAATAAGGAATCATGAAATTTGTTATGTCTTTTATCTCTGACACAAATGACTGCAGACGTGTTTAGTCCTAGTCTGGTTGCAGGATTTAATCCTACTTGTATCATTCCAATATGAAGAAATTTATATTTTCGTTTATGTTGTTCAATTAATTGTCTTGATAAAAGTTGAAATGCATTATATCCTTCAGTTAAAGGCATAGCTTCTTCAACAGTTTTTATTATATAATCAGAAGTAAATTCGAATGTTCCTTTTTGCTTATAAACAGATGATGAGCTGGGTAATTTCCAGTTTTGTAGAGTATTATCAATATTTTCAGAAATAATAATTTCTTTGTTAGAACTGCTATTAGTATGATTTGCTTTATATCTATTTGATAAAGATCTACTTATCCTCTCCATAAGGTTGTTGATCACTGTCAACGACTTACGTCACAAATCCCCAAAATGCCTAAATCTAGCAACAATGGGAATATCAAGGACAACGCGACTTAAGGTTTCACAACCCTCTTAAAGAAAGGAAAATAAAACTTTAAAAAGTAGATATAATTTAAAATTAAGAAAGCAGATAAACACAAATAGATTAAATACAAACTGTTATTAAAAAATACAAACTGTTATTAAAAGTACTACATAAAGTACTACATACCTGCCAATTCAATGGCTCGGATACCACTAAGGTCCCTCAGTACACCAATATTATACAACTTATAATAAAATACTAGATATTATTTTAGAGAAAGCAAATAAACACAAATAGATTAAATACAAACTGTTATTAAAAAATACAAACTGTTATTAAAAGTACTACATAAAGTACTACATACCTGCCAATTCAATGGCTCTGATACCACTAAGGTCCCTCAGTACACCAATATTATACAACTTATAATAAAATACTAGATATTATTTTAGAGAAAGCAGCGGGTATAAAACAGATAGGGGAGACTATCTTTTCAAAGGAAGGAATAAGATCTTAGGAAATTTTCGGATGCCCTCCTTGTGATGGATGTATGCCTTTATATAGGTCTTCTTCCGGACTTCAAATTCTTCTTCATTTTCTTTAAATGAATAGTAGTTGATTGTGACCTCCATCATGGACTCTGTAGTGGGTAGCACAGTGACTCCATTATTGTGGTCAGTAGTGGTTTGCACAGTAACTCCATTATTGTGGCCAATAGTGGGTAGCACAGTAACTCCATTATTATGGATTCCTGAAAATGACATATGCAATTTTCTAAACATCATATGGGTCCTGGGAGTCTTGCATTGAGTCTGATTTAAGGCTGGCCATATCAGTGTCCTCTGTATCCGAATCAGATTCTTGTAGGATTTCTTTTAATTGTGCCTTAAGATCCGATTTGGATGACGATGCCAATAATTCCCTCGGAATTTCTGTAATGTCTTTCTTGGGACTTGGAGGAGGTGGTAGAGGCTCTAGATTAATTAATCCCTTTTGGGAGAAGACTGAATTTTCTGCAAAGAAATCAAACTTGTCCCACCATTTGATTAAAATCCTTCTTCCCAGATAAGGGATATTATGAACAATTTCTCCAAATTTACGAAGGGGCATTTTGGAAATAATAACGTCCCACTTCATAATCCAAGGAACTTGATAGAGGATTGCAAACATTAATCCTGGAGTTTTTAATGATGCATTTGATTTTATAAAATCATCATAAATTGTTCTGATTTTATCAGGAAGAGTAATAGGATGAAATCCCCAATTATTAAACCACATTAAAAACCATTGTGGTAAAGGAGAACTTTGATCAAAATCTCTAAATTGGAAAAACCAACTGTGTTTTCTTTGTCTGTTTTCATAACAGAAAGCACCATCCCAAGCTTTGATATAATCAAAATAGTTGAACCAAAATTTATTTTGTTCCTTTCTATATTTAGGAAGTTCTCTGAATCTATAAAGGTCTCTATTCCATTGTTGAGGAGTAATTACCTTTTTGAAGAAAGCTTTGGAATAAGCCCATTCACCACCTGTTCGATTAACAGAATCAAATTCTACAGAACCAGTAGAGTCAAGTATTGCATAATAAAAATTGTAATCCTTAGGATAAAGAAATGGGTCTGCAAATTCTTGAAGGTAGAATTTAGCAGCTTCATTAGCAGCAAGATGAGCATATTTAAGCTCTATTGGTGCGATCCATATTGTAGAAATAGGAAGATATGGATAAACGAATTCATTCGTCATATTAGACGATACTGCAATAGCATATGCATCATCTCTAAGTTTGTTTTCTTTTGGCGTGGCCTTTAAGGCTTCTTTTCTTAATTGTTCTGGGGTTTTTCCCACAACATTTTTGTATGAAGGAACCTTATAAGGTTCACCAGTGGCTTTTGCCTTCCCTTTGTCTTTATTCATTCTGTCCCTGCAAGAATTCACGAGTTAAGAAATCAGGTAACCAATTATCTGATCCTTTTATAAACTCAATATCAAAATAAAAAACGGACAATATGCCTTGCCATCTTGCAAAAAATTGTTTTGATGCAACATTCTTTATGTCTTTTTGAAGTATATCTTTTGCAGATTTACAATCAATTCGTAATAGAAATTTTTGATTTAGCAAATCACTTTCAAATTTTTGTATGCAAAGAACAATTGAAAGGATTTCTTTTTTAACAGTAGAATAATTTATTCGGGGTCCTTTCCAAACTCCTGATGTAAATCTAACAATAATTTCTTTATTATTAATCCTTTGTTTAAGGATTCCTCCATATCCCAAGTCTGAGGCATCTGTTTCGACAATTTTAAATGCCTTAGGATGAGGTAAAGCCAAGCATGGAATTTCCTTAATTTTTGCTTTAATTTTACGAACTGCTTCAGTGTGAACATGTGTCCATTCTGGAGGGTTCTTTTTTAACCTTTCAAATAAAGGTTTGGTGTCAAATGCAAGATTAGTATAAAAATCAGCAATATAATTTAAACTGCCCAAAAACCTTTGTAATTGATTTTTGTCTTTTACTTCATCCGTAAATTTTTCCGCAAAAGTAATAGATCTTTCAATCGGGATAATAGTCCCTTCTTTAATATTATGCCCTAAAAATCGAGTTTCGGTTTGAAATAATTTTATCTTTTTTGCAGATACAACAAGTCCTGCTTTTGTAGTTGCATTAATAAATGCTTTGAGATGTTTGATATGTTGATCTATTGATTCTGAAAAGATTAATACATCATCGATGTATACTATACAGAAATGTGTAAATGGATTAAAAATATCATTCATTATATTTTGAAATTCAGATGGGGCATTTTTTAGCCCAAAAGCCATAACATTCCATTCATAATGTCCAAATGGAACAGTGAATGCAGTTTTATATCTGTCTTCTTCTGCAATTTGAATTTGCCAGAAGCCAGATTTCATGTCAAATTTTGACATTATTTTGGCTGTATAAAGTCTGTTTAATAAATCTCTTTTGTTAGGAATGGGATATCTTATCCATCGAAGAGCTTTGTTCAATGGCTTATAATTTATAACAAGCCTTGGAACTCCTCTCTCAAGTTCAGCATTTTTGTTATTTTATATAGCATAAACTATTTTTTCTGTCCTTCAAAATTATTTTTGGAGTAGAACCATTTTCTTTTAATTTCATTTTCAGGAGAATAAAATAATTCTTTTGCAATTCCTTGAATCGGAAATTCTAATTCTATTTTTTCTTCAACTGTTAATGCGTTAATACCATAAACACTTCTATCATCATACCCCATGTCTGATGGAGTAGGTGATTGCCTTTTAGGAATATTTCTGGAAGTTCCAGATGTTGAGGGTGGTAATTCAACCTTATATTCTGGTTGATTTACTCCGTCTGTAGTGAATTTTGTTCCTAACAAGTTATCTCTTTCAAACTGTGAAATAGGAACTGAAGAGGTAGATTTTCGTCCTAGATTAAGGTGAGCAATTCTCTGAGTAGAGAATTTAATTTCAACATCTCCATCTGGGTATTCAATAATTTCTTCTAATTCTCTATTTTCCTGTTTAACAGGTTCAGAGGCTTTTTCAAGTACCCATTTTTCGGGTAAATTGACTTGGTCCCAAGTGATTGTTTTTGGGACTTTTAAATTGGATTTTGCTAAATTAGTAATAAATAGAGTTGTATAACCCCTATGTTGTGTAGGAATTTCTTTAATACGGGGAATTACCGTATTCATAACTTTATATTGAATTCTATAAATAAGAATTATATTCTCTGCTCCTTGCATCATATTAAATCCTTCAGATTTAATATCTAAGCATAAGGCATGCATTAAAGTTGGGTCTGTGAGGGATAAAGTGAAGTTTGGAAAACATGAAAAATAAATTGGTCCATCACGTAAACTAGATTCAACTATTCCTAATAAGGAATCATGAAATTTGTTATGTCTATTATCTCTGACACAAATGACTGCAGACGTGTTTAGTCCTAGTCTGGTTGCAGGTTTTAATCCTACTTGTATCATTCCAATATGAAGAAATTTATATTTTCATTTATGTTGTTCAATTAATTGTCTTGATAAAAGTTGAAATGCATTATATCCTTCAGTTAAAGGCATAGCTTCTTCAACAGTTTTTATTATATAATCAGAAGTAAATTCGAATGTTCCTTTTTGCTTATAAACAGATGATGAGCTGGGTAATTTCCAGTTTTGTAGAGTATTATCAATATTTTCAGAAATAATAATTTCTTTGTTAGAACTACTATTAGTATGATTTGCTTTATATCTATTTGATAAAGATCTACTTATCCTCTCCATAAGGTTGTTGATCACTGTCAACGACTTACGTCACAAATCCCCTAAATGCCTAAATCTAGCAACAATGGGAATATCAAGGACAACGCGACTTAAGGTTTCACAACCAACTTTAAAAAGTAGATATAATTTAAAATTAAGAAAGCAGATAAACACAAATAGATTAAATACAAACTGTTATTAAAAAATACAAACTGTTATTAAAAGTACTACATAAAGTACTACATACCTGCCAATTCAATGGCTCTGATACCACTAAGGTCCCTCAGTACACCAATATTATACAACTTATAATAAAATACTAGATATTATTTTAGAGAAAGCAGCGGGTATAAAACAGATAGGGGAGACTATCTTTTCAAAGGAAGGAATAAGATCTTAGGAAATTTTCGGATACCCTCCTTGTGATGGATGTATGCCTTTATATAGGTCTTCTTCCGGACTTCAAATTCTTCTTCATTTTCTTTAAATGAATAGTAGCTGATTGTGACCTCCATCATGGACTCTGTAGTGGGTAGCACAGTGACTCCATTATTGTGGTCAGTAGTGGTTTGCACAGTAACTCCATTATTGTGGCCAATAGTGGGTAGCACAGTAACTCCATTATTATGGATTCCTGAAAATGACATATGCAATTTTCTAAACATCATATGGGTCCTGGGAGTCTTGCATTGAGTCTGATTTAAGGCTGGCCATATCTGTGTCCTCTGTATCCGAATCAGATTCTTGTAGGATTTCTTTTAATTGTGCCTTAAGATCCGATTTGGATGACGATGCCAATAATTCCCTCAGAATTTCTGTAATGTCTTTCTTGGGACTTGGAGGAGGTGGTAGAGGCTCTAGATTAATTAATCCCTTTTGGGAGAAGACTGAATTTTCTGCAAAGAAATCAAACTTGTCCCACCATTTGATTAAAATCCTTCTTCCCAGATAAGGGATATTATGAACAATTTCTCCAAATTTACGAAGGGGCATTTTGGAAATAATAACGTCCCACTTCATAATCCAAGGAACTTGATAGAGGATTGCAAACATTAATCCTGAAGTTTTTAATGATGCATTTGTTTTTATAAAATCATCATAAATTGTTCTGATTTTATCAGGAAGAGTAATAGGATGAAATCCCCAATTATTAAACCACATTAAAAACCATTGTGGTAAAGGAGAACTTTGATCAAAATCTCTAAATTGGAAAAACCAATTGTGCTTTCTTTGTCTGTTCTCATAACAGAAAGCACCATCCCAAGCTTTGATATAATCAAAATAGTTGAACCAACATTTATTTTGTTCCTTTCTATATTTACGAAGTTCTCTGAATCTATAAAGGTCTCTATTCCATTGTTGAGGAGTAATTACCTTTTTGAAGAAAGCTTTGGAATAAGCCCATTCACCACCTGTTCGATTAACAGAATCAAATTCTACAGAACGAGTAGAGTCAAGTATTGCATAATAAAAATTGTAATCCTTAGGATAAAGAAATGGGTCTGCAAATTCTTGAAGGTAGAATTTAGCAGCTTCATTAGCAGCAAGATGAGCATATTTAAGCTCTATTGGTGCGATCCATATTGTAGAAATAGGAAGATATGGATAAACGAATTCATTCGTCATATTAGACGATACTGCAATAGCATATGCATCATCTCTAAGTTTGTTTTCTTTTGGCGTGGCCTTTAAGGCTTCTTTTCTTAATTGTTACCAGTGGCTTTTGCCTTCCCTTTGTCTTTATTCATTATGTCCCTGCAAGAATTCACGAGTTAAGAAATCAGGTAACCAATTATCTGATCCTTTTATAAACTCAATATCAAAATAAAAAACGGACAATATGCCTTGCCATCTTGCAAAAATTTGTTTTGATGCAACATTCTTTATGTCTTTTTGAAGTATATCTTTTGCAGATTTACAATCAATTCGTAATAGAAATTTTTGATTTAGCAAATCACTTTCAAATTTTTGTATGCAAAGAACAATTGAAAGGATTTCTTTTTTAACAGTAGAATAATTTATTCGGGGTCCTTTCCAAACTCCTGATGTAAATCTAACAAGAATTTCTTTATTATTAATCCTTTGTTTAAGGATTCCTTCATATCCCAAGTCTGAGGCATCTGTTTCGACAATTTTAAATGCATTAGGATGAGGTACAGCCAAGCATGGAATTTCCTTAATTTTTGCTTTAATTTTACGAACTGCTTCAGTGTGAACATGTGTCCATTCTGGAGGGTTCTTTTTTAACCTTTCAAATAAAGGTTTGGTGTCAAATGCAAGATTAGTATAAAAATCAGCAATATAATTTAAACTGCCCAAAAACCTTTGTAATTGATTTTTATCTCTTATTTCATCCGGATTTTTTTCCGCAAAAGTAATAGATCTTTCAATCAGGATAATAGTCCCTTCTTTAATATTATGCCCTAAAAATCGAGTTTCGGTTTGAAATAATTTTATCTTTTTTGCAGATACAACAAGTCCTGCTTTTGTAGTTGCATTAATAAATGCTTTGAGATGTTTGATATGTTGATCTATTGATTCTGAAAAGATTAATACATCATCGATCTATACTATACAGAAATGTGTAAATGGATTAAAAATATCATTCAATATATTTTGAAATTCAGATGGGGCATTTTTTAGCCCAAAAGGCATAACATTCCATTCATAATGTCCAAATGGAACAGTGAATGCAGTTTTATATCTGTCTTCTTCTGCAATTTGAATTTGCCAGAAGCCAGATTTCATGTCAAATTTTGACATTATTTTGGCTGTATAAAGTCTGTTTAATAAATCTCTTTTGTTAGGAATGGGATATCTTATCCATCGAAGAGCTTTGTTCAATGGCTTATAATTTATAACAAGCCTTGGAACTCCTCTCTCAAGTTCAGCATTTTTGTTATTTTATATAGCATAAACTATTTTTTCTGTCCTTCAAAATTATTTTTGGAGTAGAACCATTTTCTTTTAATTTCATTTTCAGGAGAATAAAATAATTCTTTTGCAAGTCCTTGAATCGGAAATTCTAATTCTATTTTTTCTTCAACTGTTAATGCGTTAATACCATAAACACTTCTATCATCATACCCCATGTCTGATGGAGTAGGTGATTGCCTTTTAGGAATATTTCTGGAAGTTCCAGATGTTGAGGGTGGTAATTCAACCTTATATTCTGGTTGATTTACTCCGTCTGTAGTGAATTTTGTTCCTAACAAGTTATCTCTTTCAAACTGTGAAATAGGAACTGAAGAGGTAGATTTTCGTCCTAGATTAAGGTGAGCAATTCTCTGAGTAGAGAATTTAATTTCAACATCTCCATCTGGGTATTCAATAATTTCTTCTAATTCTCTATTTTCCTGTTTAACAGGTTCAGAGGCTTTTTCAAGTACCCATTTTTCGGGTAAATTGACTTGGTCCCAAGTGATTGTTTTTGGGACTTTTAAATTGGATTTTGCTAAATTAGTAATAAATAGAGTTGTATAACCCCTATGTTGTGTAGGAATTTCTTTAATACGGGGAATTACCGTATTCATAACTTTATATTGAATTCTATAAAGAAGAATTATATTCTCTGCTCCTTGCATCATATTAAATCCTTCAGATTTAATATCTAAGCATAAGGCATGCATTAAAGTTGGGTCTGTGAGGGATAAAGTGAAGTTTGGAAAACATGAAAAATAAATTGGTCCATCACATAAACTAGATTCAACTATTCCTAATAAGGAATCATGAAATTTGTTATGTCTTTTATCTCTGACACAAATGACTGCAGACGTGTTTAGTCCTAGTCTGGTTGCAGGTTTTAATCCTACTTGTATCATTCCAATATGAAGAAATTTATATTTTCGTTTATGTTGTTCAATTAATTGTCTTGATAAAAGTTGAAATGCATTATATCCTTCAGTTAAAGGCATGGCTTCTTCAACAGTTTTTATTATATAATCAGAAGTAAATTCGAATGTTCCTTTTTGCTTATAAACAGATGATGAGCTGGGTAATTTCCAGTTTTGTAGAGTATTATCAATATTTTCAGAAATAATAATTTCTTTGTTAGAACTACTATTAGTATGATTTGCTTTATATCTATTTGATAAAGATCTACTTATCCTCTCCATAAGGTTGTTGATCACTGTCAACGACTTACGTCACAAATCCCCTAAATGCCTAAATCTAGCAACAATGGGAATATCAAGGACAACGCGACTTAAGGTTTCACAACCCTCTTAAAGAAAGGAAAATAAAACATTAAAAAGTAGATATAATTTAAAATTAAGAAAGCAGATAAACACAAATAGATTAAATACAAACTGTTATTAAAAGTACTACATACCTGCTACATACCTGCCAATTCAATGGCTCTGATACCACTAAGGTCCCTCAGTACACCAATATTATACAACTTATAATATTATTTTAGAGAAAGCAGCGGGTATAAAACAGATAGGGGAGACTATCTTTTCAAAGGAAGGAATAAGATCTTAGGAAATTTTCGGATGTTTTCGGATGCCCTCCTTGTGATGGATGTATGCCTTTATATAGGTCTTCTTCCGGACTTCAAATTCTTCTTCATTTTCTTTAAATGAATAGTAGCTGATTGTGACCTCCATCATGGACTCTGTAGTGGGTAGCACAGTGACTCCATTATTGTGGTCAGTAGTGGTTTGCACAGTAACTCCATTATTGTGGCCAATAGTGGGTAGCACAGTAACTCCATTATTATGGATTCCTGAAAATGACATATGCAATTTTCTAAACATCATATGGGTCCTGGGAGTCTTGCATTGAGTCTGATTTAAGGCTGGCCATATCAGTGTCCTCTGTATCCGAATCAGATTCTTGTAGGATTTCTTTTAATTGTGCCTTAAGATCCGATTTGGATGACGATGCCAATAATTCCCTCAGAATTTCTGTAATGTCTTTCTTGGGACTTGGAGGAGGTGGTAGAGGCTCTAGATTAATTAATCCCTTTTGGGAGAAGACTGAATTTTCTGCAAAGAAATCAAACTTGTCCCACCATTTGATTAAAATCCTTCTTCCCAGATAAGGGATATTATGAACAATTTCTCCAAATTTACGAAGGGGCATTTTGGAAGTAATAACGTCCCACTTCATAATCCAAGGAACTTGATAGAGGATTGCAAACATTAATCCTGGAGTTTTTAATGATGCATTTGTTTTTATAAAATCATCATAAATTGTTCTGATTTTATCAGGAAGAGTAATAGGATGAAATCCCCAATTATTAAACCACATTAAAAACCATTGTGGTAAAGGAGAACTTTGATCAAAATCTCTAAATTGGAAAAACCAACTGTGCTTTCTTTGTCTGTTCTCATAACAGAAAGCACCATCCCAAGCTTTGATATAATCAAAATAGTTGAACCAAAATTTATTTTGTTCCTTTCTATATTTAGGAAGTTCTCTGAATCTATAAAGGTCTCCATTCCATTGTTCAGGAGTAATTACCTTTTTGAAGAAAGCTTTGGAATAAGCCCATTCACCACCTGTTCGATTAACAAAATCAAATTCTACAGAACCAGTAGAGTCAAGTATTGCATAATAAAAATTGTAATCCTTAGGATAAAGAAATGGGTCTGCAAATTCTTGAAGGTAGAATTTAGCAGCTTCATTAGCAGCAAGATGAGCATATTTAAGCTCTATTGGTGCGATCCATATTGTAGAAATAGGAAGATATGGATAAACGAATTCATTCGTCATATTAGACGATACTGCAATAGCATATGCATCATCGTCATATTAGACGATACTGCAATAGCATATTTACAATCAATTCGTAATTGTTCTGGGGTTTTTCCCACAACATTTTTGTATGAAGGAACCTTATAAGGTTCACCAGTGGCTTTTGCCTTCCCTTTGTCTTTATTCATTCTGTCCCTGCAAGAATTCACGAGTTAAGAAATTAGGTAAGCAATTATCTGATCCTTTTATAAACTCAATATCAAAATCAAAAACGGACAATATGCCTTGCCATCTTGCAAAAATTTGTTTTGATGCAACATTCTTTATGTCTTTTTGAAGTATATCTTTTGCAGATTTACAATCAATTCGTAATAGAAATTTTTGATTTAGCAAATCACTTTCAAATTTTTGTATGCAAAGAACAATTGAAAGGATTTCTTTTTTAACAGTAGAATAATTTATTCGGGGTCCTTTCCAAACTCCTGATGTAAATCTAACAAGAATTTCTTTATTATTAATCCTTTGTTTAAGGATTCCTCCATATCCCAAGTCCGAGGCATCTGTTTCGACAATTTTAAATGCATTAGGATGAGGTAAAGCCAAGCATGGAATTTCCTTAATTTTTGCTTTAATTTTACGAACTGCTTCAGTGTGAACATGTGTCCATTCTGGAGGGTTCTTTTTTAACCTTTCAAATAAAGGTTTGGTGTCAAATGCAAGATTAGTATAAAAATCAGCAATATAATTTAAACTGCCCAAAAACCTTTGTAATTGATTTTTGTCTCTTATTTCATCCGGATTTTTTTCCGCAAAAGTAATAGATCTTTCAATCGGGATAATAGTCCCTTCTTTAATATTATGCCCTAAAAATCGAGTTTCGGTTTGAAATAATTTTATCTTTTTTGCAGATACAACAAGTCATGCTTTTGTAGTTGCATTAATAAATGCTTTGAGATGTTTGATATGTTGATCTATTGATTCTGAAAAGATTAATACATCATCGATCTATACTATATAGAAATGTGTAAATGGATTAAAAATATCATTCATTATATTTTGAAATTCAGATGGGGCATTTTTTAGCCCAAAAGGCATAACATTCCATTCATAATGTCCAAATGGAACAGTGAATGCAGTTTTATATCTGTCTTCTTCTGCAATTTGAATTTGCCAGAAGCCAGATTTCATGTCAAATTTTGACATTATTTTGGCTGTATAAAGTCTGTTTAATAAATCTCTTTTGTTAGGAATGGGATATCTTATCCATCGAAGAGCTTTGTTCAATGGCTTATAATTTATAACAAGCCTTGGAACTCCTCTCTCAAGTTCAGCATTTTTGTTATTTTATATAGCATAAACTATTTTTTCTGTCCTTCAAAATTATTTTTGGAGTAGAACCATTTTCATTTAATTTCATTTTCAGGAGAATAAAATAATTCTTTTGCAAGTCCTTGAATCGGAAATTCTAATTCTATTTTTTCTTCAACTGTTAATGCGTTAATACCATAAACACTTCTATCATCATACCCCATGTCTGATGGAGTAGGTGATTGCCTTTTAGGAATATTTCTGGAAGTTCCAGATGTTGAGGGTGGTAATTCAACCTTATATTCTGGTTGATTTACTCCGTCTGTAGTGAATTTTGTTCCTAACAAGTTATCTCTTTCAAACTGTGAAATAGGAACTGAAGAGGTAGATTTTCGTCCTAGATTAAGGTGAGCAATTCTCTGATTAGAGAATTGAATTTCAACATCTCCATCTGGGTATTCAATAATTTCTTCTAATTCTCTATTTTCCTGTTTAACAGGTTCAGAGGCTTTTTCAAGTACCCATTTTTCGGGTAAATTGACTTGGTCCCAAGTGATTGTTTTTGGGACTTTTAAATTGGATTTTGCTAAATTAGTAATAAATAGAGTTGTATAACCCCTATGTTGTGTAGGAATTACTTTAATACGGGGAATTACCGTATTCATAACTTTATATTGAATTCTATAAATAAGAATTATATTCTCTGCTCCTTGCATCATATTAAATCCTTCAGATTTAATATCTAAGCATAAGGCATGCATTAAAGTTGGGTCTGTGAGGGATAAAGTGAAGTTTGGAAAACATGAAAAATAAATTGGTCCATCACATAAACTAGATTCAACTATTCCTAATAAGGAATCATGAAATTTGTTATGTCTTTTATCTCTGACACAAATGACTGCAGACGTGTTTAGTCCTAGTCTGGTTGCAGGTTTTAATCCTACTTGTATCATTCCAATATGAAGAAATTTATATTTTCGTTTATGTTGTCCAATTAATTGTCTTGATAAAAGTTGAAATGCATTATATCCTTCAGTTAAAGGCATAGCTTCTTCAACAGTTTTTATTATATAATCAGAAGTAAATTCGAATGTTCCTTTTTGCTTATAAACAGATGATGAGCTGGGTAATTTCCAGTTTTGTAGAGTATTATCAATATTTTCAAAAATAATAATTTCTTTGTTAGAACTACTATTAGTATGATTTGCTTTATATCTATTTGATAAAGATCTACTTATCCTCTCCATAAGGTTGTTGATCACTGTCAACGACTTACGTCACAAATCCCCTAAATGCCTAAATCTAGCAACAATGGGAATATCAAGGACAACGCGACTTAAGGTTTCACAACCCTCTTAAAGAAAGGAAAATAAAACTTTAAAAAGTAGATATAATTTAAAATTAAGAAAGCAGATAAACACAAATAGATTAAATACAAACTGTTATTAAAAAATACAAACTGTTATTAAAAGTACTACATAAAGTACTACATACCTGCCAATTCAATGGCTCGGATACCACTAAGGTCCCTCAGTACACCAATATTATACAACTTATAATAAAATACTAGATATTATTTTAGAGAAAGCAGCGGGTATAAAACAGATAGGGGAGACTATCTTTTCAAAGGAAGGAATAAGATCTTAGGAAATTTTCGGATGCCCTCCTTGTGATGGATGTATGCCTTTATATAGGTCTTCTTCCGGACTTCAAATTCTTCTTCATTTTCTTTAAATGAATAGTAGCTGATTGTGACCTCCATCATGGACTCTGTAGTGGGTAGCACAGTGACTCCATTATTGTGGTCAGTAGTGGTTTGCACAGTAACTCCATTATTGTGGCCAGTAGTGGGTAGCACAGTAACTCCATTATTATGGATTCCTGAAAATGACATATGCAATTTTCTAAACATCATATGAGTCCTGGGAGTCTTGCATTAAGTCTGATTTAAGGCTGGCCATATCTGTGTCCTCTGTATCCGAATCAGATTCTTGTAGGATTTCTTTTAATTGTGCCTTAAGATCCGATTTGGATGACGATGCCAATAATTCCCTCAGAATTTCTGTAATGTCTTTCTTGGGACTTGGAGGAGGTGGTAGAGGCTCTAGATTAATTAATCCCTTTTGGGAGAAGACTGAATTTTCTGCAAAGAAATCAAACTTGTCCCACCATTTGATTAAAATCCTTCTTCCCAGATAAGGGATATTATGAACAATTTCTCCAAATTTACGAAGGGGCATTTTGGAAATAATAACGTCCCACTTCATAATCCAAGGAACTTGATAGAGGATTGCAAACATTAATCCTGGAGTTTTTAATGATGCATTTGTTTTTATAAAATCATCATAAATTGTTCTGATTTTATCAGGAAGAGTAATAGGATGAAATCCCCAATTATTAAACCACATTAAAAACCATTGTGGTAAAGGAGAACTTTGATCAAAATCTCTAAATTGGAAAAACCAACTGTGCTTTCTTTGTCTGTTCTCATAACAGAAAGCACCATCCCAAGCTTTGATATAATCAAAATAGTTGAACCAAAATTTATTTTGTTCCTTTCTATATTTAGGAAGTTCTCTGAATCTATAAAGGTCTCCATTCCATTGTTGAGGAGTAATTACCTTTTTGAAGAAAGCTTTGGAATAAGCCCATTCACCACCTGTTCGATTAACATAATCAAATTCTACAGAACCAGTAGAGTCAAGTATTGCATAATAAAAATTGTAATCCTTAGGATAAAGAAATGGGTCTGCAAATTCTTGAAGGTAGAATTTAGCAGCTTCATTAGCAGCAAGATGAGCATATTTAAGCTCTATTGGTGCGATCCATATTGTAGAAATAGGAAGATATGGATAAACGAATTCATTCGTCATATTAGACGATACTGCAATAGCATATGCATCATCTCTAAGTTTGTTTTCTTTTGGCGTGGCCTTTAAGGCTTCTTTTCTTAATTGTTCTGGGGTTTTTCCCACAACATTTTTGTATGAAGGAACCTTATAAGGTTCACCAGTGGCTTTTGCCTTCCCTTTGTCTTTATTCATTATGTCCCTGCAAGAATTCACGAGTTAAGAAATCAGGTAACCAATTATCTGATCCTTTTATAAACTCAATATCAAAATAAAAAACGGACAATATGCCTTGCCATCTTGCAAAAATTTGTTTTGATGCAACATTCTTTATGTCTTTTTGAAGTATATCTTTTGCAGATTTACAATCAATTCGTAATAGAAATTTTTGATTTAGCAAATCACTTTCAAATTTTTGTATGCAAAGAACAATTGAAAGGATTTCTTTTTTAACAGTAGAATAATTTATTCGGGGTCCTTTCCAAACTCCTGATGTAAATCTAACAAGAATTTCTTTATTATTAATCCTTTGTTTAAGGATTCCTCCATATCCCAAGTCTGAGGCATCTGTTTCGACAATTTTAAATGCATTAGGATGAGGTAAAGCCAAGCATGGAATTTCCTTAATTTTTGCTTTTATTTTACGAACTGCTTCAGTGTGAACATGTGTCCATTATGGAGGGTTCTTTTTTAACCTTTCAAATAAAGGTTTGGTATCAAATGCAAGATTAGTATAAAAATCAGCAATATAATTTAAACTGCCCAAAAACCTTTGTAATTGATTTTTGTCTTTTATTTCATCCGGAAATTCTTCCGCAAAAGTAATAGATCTTTCAATCGGGATAATAGTCCCTTCTTTAATATTATGCCCTAAAAATCGAGTTTCGGTTTGAAATAATTTTATCTTTTTTGCAGATACAACAAGTCCTGCTTTTGTAGTTGCATTAATAAATGCTTTGAGATGTTTGATATGTTGATCTATTGATTCTGAAAAGATTAATACATCATCGATGTATACTATACAGAAATGTGTAAATGGATTAAAAATATCATTCATTATATTTTGAAATTCATATGGGGCATTTTTTAGCCCAAAAGGCATAACATTTCATTCATAATGTCCAAATGGAACAGTGAATGCAGTTTTATATCTGTCTTCTTCTGCAATTTGAATTTGCCAGAAGCCAGATTTCATGTCAAATTTTGACATTATTTTGGCTGTATAAAGTCTGTTTAATAAATCTCTTTTGTTAGGAATGGGATATCTTATCCATCGAAGAGCTTTGTTCAATGGCTTATAATTTATAACAAGCCTTGGAACTCCTCTCTCAAGTTCAGCATTTTTGTTAACATAAAATGCTGGGCAGCTCCATGGACTATAAGATTTTCTAATTAGTCATTTTTTTTAATAAATCTTCGATTTCTTTTTTACACATTTCTAAATATTCCGGTCCCATTGCTATGGGCCTAGCTTTAGTTGGGATTTGACTTTCTTTAAATTCTGGTTCATATGGTAAATGAACTATATGCTTTTTCCTTTCCCAAAAGGCATTGGGAATATCTTAGCAAATTGTTTGAACAATATGTTCTTGTATTTCTTGTATTTTCTTTTGTATATCTGGTTGCTGAATTTTCTCAGCAATCTTTTTATAAGATATTTCTTTTTTAAGTGAATTCAAAAAACTTTCTTTTCTTTTTATTTGTTTTTGTAAAACATCAATCTCGTGATAACGAGGTTGTGTAGTAAATTGAAATGTTATTTCTTGTGATTTTACAATACTTGTAATACCTTTCTCATCCACATTTTTTATAGGGTAGAGCATGTGTAAGAAAGGATTTCCCAATATAATATCATGGGATAAATTTTTTACCATTATAAATGGCATTTCTATACAAATTCCATTATTGCAAATTGCAGTATTTTGTAACTTATATTTTACTATAAGTTTTCTACCATCTGCAGCATTCAGAATTTCTGAGGTTTTTGAGAAGTACCTAGAAGGTATAAGACCTTCATTGATGCAATTTAGATCAGCACCAGAGTCAACCATAGCAATTGCAGAGAAGGAATATTATTTCCAGACAATTATGGTGACTTTGATATGCCATTTGTGAGTGATTACTCTGTCAATCATATTAATATAGGTTAATGAATTTAATCCATCTTTTTCTTGAGAAGTAGTTGGACTAGGTTCTAAGTCTTCCTCTTCTTCTGATTGGTTAGAAATATTCTGAATTCTTTTTAATTCTAATACTGCTATTCTAGATTTAAGAGAGCGTAATTCTGTTTTTAGTTCTTTGACTTCATATATTAGTTCACTAATACATGTGTCTTCGGGTTTTTCTTCAGAGTTTTTTACTCTGTTAAGAATTTCTTTTATGTTATAAGCTTCGGGTTCTTTAAAACGAAATTCTTTATCAATATTTCCTTTTTTGGAATAATTCTCCAGATATTTCTGAAGTATTTCTCTTTTCTCTGTAGGATCTGTAATTTTATCTATAATATCAAGAATAAAATTGTCTTCTTTTGTCAGAACAAATAATCCGTTAGCCTGACATAAGGTTTTATAATAGTCGCAATTTCCTTCACAATCAGATTTTTCTGATTCTATTTCTGATTGGTTAGAATCAGATTCATATTCTTCATTTTCATTCTCTATTAGAGATACTTGAAGATTAGTTTTATCATCCTCAGAGTCAGAAAGGAATAATTTGTCCAATGTCTTTTTGAGCCCTTCATCAATAGATAGGCTATTAATTTTCTTTTTCATTTTACACTTATTAGCATAATGGCCAACCTTATGACAACGCCAGCAGACGGGTGTTGTCTTCTGCTTTGATGGTTGGGCACTGTTAGTCCCATGTTTGTGGTCTTTTGACCTTTTCTTTTCTCTCTTTTCTTTCAGGGGAAAATATTTATTTTTAGAAAACTTATTAATTTTAGTTTTCTTTTTCTTTTCAGATGTCTCTGAACGAATAGGTGGTAGTCCCATTTGTTCACAGAAATCTCCTATAATCTTTTTCCCTAGGATTTTATCCTTTTGAATTTGTCTATGTAATTTTATTTCATTACATAGGTTTATTCCTTCTGATGTGATTTCAGAAGCAAGATCACCATAAGTGTAAAGGGAGTAAGGAATAACTCCATTATGTTTTTGCTTAATTCTGTTACGGATTTTTTCAGCAAAGAATTGTGGTAATCCGGAAAGAAATTTTTCTTTCCAAAAATCTTGTGGGCTGTCTGCTCGTGTAAAAACTTTCGAAAAGAATACATCTTTATACCACTTGAATTGGGATAAATTGTGGCATCTTAGATTCATTAATTGTTCTTTAGTTTTATCCAATAATAAGGATGTAGTGCCTATGAAATGTTTGGCTATTGTATATAACAATGTGTTAACACTATCATTAGTATTAATTGGTTGGTTATTAACCATTTCAGTTTTCACTGCCTGAAGTATATGAGCTTTAGCTTGTTCAGGGAGGTAAAAGTCCCACCAACCTTTTAGTTGGCCGGTAAAACCTTGTATTATAATTTTTGCAATATTTTGGTCTGAATTACCATTTGATTTACATGGTGTGGCAAACATAGTCTTATAATGTATGACTGTCTGGATTTGGTTTTCTGACATACCATCTATATTCCATTCATTAATAGATCGACCGTCGAATTGAACAGTCATATAATCATCATGTTGTTCCAGTTGAAGGTCAACTGGAGTTTGTCTATGATAATAGGGTTTTGCTGGAATATTATAAACTAACTTCTTTTTATAAGAAGATATCTTATTCACCTGATAAGGTGTTTGTTGTTCTGTTTCAAACATACGTTGTAATTGATTTACTTGGTCATCAGTACCTTGCTCATCTTCTTAGTCAGTTCCTTTTTGTGATTCCTTTTCCAGATGAGCTATTTCTTTTTCTTTTATGCCAAGATTTTTTAATCTTTTGACAATTTCATCCACCATTTCAGATGATTCTTGAGTTTGTAATTTAAACTCAGTCTTTTCTGTTGACATTGGTTTAAACAAAACCTTTTGTTCTATTTGTAAAGGTTTGGATGTTGACTCAGTATAAGCTACTTTTTGCTCAATACGGTTTAATTGATTACCAATTGATTGAAGAGAGAGATTTGTAAAATTGTTCTGTTCAACAACAGCTTCGATAGTACTACCTTTCCTATATGGTGTAGCAATAACTTCGTCTTCGTCAATTTGAACAGTTAAATTTGCTGCAGGGGGATGAATACTTTTAACAAGTGTTCCTCTTTTTGTAATGTAATTTTGAAAAGTAGATTCAATTGTAGAAATACATCTTGGATCATCAAATTGAGGAAAGTGACGTTTTTCACTTTGGTAAAATATTTTTAAAAACTCAAAGAAATCAATTATTTCTTCTGTCTTTTTAATAAATTTTTTATATAGCATAAACCATTTTTTATGTCCTTCAAAATTCTTTTTGGAGTAGAACCATTTTCTTTTAATTTCATTTTCAGGAGAATAAAATAATTCTTTTGCAAGTCCTTGAATCGGAAATTCTAATTCTATTTTTTCTTCAACTGTTAATGTGTTAATACCATAAACACTTCTATCATCATACCCCATGTCTGATGGAGTAGGTGATTGCCTTTTAGGAATATTTCTGGAAGTTCCAGATGTTGAGGGTGGTAATTCAACCTTATATTCTGGTTGATTTACTCCGTCTGTAGTGAATTTTGTTCCTAACAAGTTATCTCTTTCAAACTGTGAAATACGAACTGAAGAGGTAGATTTTCGTCCTAGATTAAGGTGAGCAATTCTCTGATTAGAGAATTTAATTTCAACATCTCCATCTGGGTATTCAATAATTTCTTCTAATTCTCTATTTTCCTGTTTAACAGGTTCAGAGGCTTATTCAAGTACCCATTTTTCGGGTAAATTGACTTGGTCCCAAGTGATTGTTTTTGGGACTTTTAAATTGGATTTTGCTAAATTAGTAATAAATAGAGTTGTATAACCCCTATGTTGTGTAGGAATTTCTTTAATACGGGGAATTACCGTATTCATAACTTTATATTGAATTCTATAAATAAGAATTATATTCTCTGCTCCTTGCATCATATTAAATCCTTCAGATTTAATATCTAAGCATAAGGCATGCATTAAAGTTGGGTCTGTGAGGGATAAAGTGAAGTTTGGAAAACATGAAAAATAAATTGGTCCATCACATAAACTAGATTCAACTATTCCTAATAAGGAATCATGAAATTTGTTATGTCTTTTATCTCTGACACAAATGACTGCAGACGTGTTTAGTCCTAGTCTGGTTGCAGGTTTTAATCCTACTTGTATCATTCCAATATGAAGAAATTTATATTTTCGTTTATGTTGTTCGATTAATTGTCTTGATAAAAGTTGAAATGCATTATATCCTGCAGTTAAAGGCATAGCTTCTTCAACAGTTTTTATTATATAATCAGAAGTAAATTCGAATGTTCCTTTTTGCTTATAAACATATGATGAGCTGGGTAATTTCCAGTTTTGTAGAGTATTATCAATATTTTCAGAAATAATAATTTCTTTGTTAGAACTACTATTAGTATGATTTGCTTTATATCTATTTGATAAAGATCTACTTATCCTCTCCATAAGGTTGTTGATCACTGTCAACGACTTACGTCACAAATCCCCTAAATGCCTAAATCTAGCAACAATGGGAATATCAAGGACAACGCGACTTAAGGTTTCACAACCCTCTTAAAGAAAGGAAAATAAAACTTTAAAAAGTAGATATAATTTAAAATTAAGAAAGCAGATAAACACAAATAGATTAAATACAAACTGTTATTAAAAAATACAAACTGTTATTAAAAGTACTACATAAAGTACTACATACCTGCCAATTCAATGGCTCGGATACCACTAAGGTCCCTCAGTACACCAATATTATACAACTTATAATAAAATACTAGATATTATTTTAGAGAAAGCAGCGGGTATAAAACAGATAGGGGAGAATATCTTTTCAAAGGAAGGAATAAGATTAAAAAGCAGATAAACACAAATAGATTAAATACAAACTGTTATTAAAAAATACAAACTGTTATTAAAAGTACTACATAAAGTACTACATACCTGCCAATTCAATGGCTCTGATACCACTAAGGTCCCTCAGTACACCAATATTATACAACTTATAATAAAATACTAGATATTATTTTAGAGAAAGCAGCGGGTATAAAACAGATAGGGGAGACTATCTTTTCAAAGGAAGGAATAAGATCTTAGGAAATTTTCGGATGCCCTCCTTGTGATGGATGTATGCCTTTATATAGGTCTTCTTCCGGACTTCAAATTCTTCTTCATTTTCTTTAAATGAATAGTAGTTGATTGTGACCTCCATCATGGACTCTGTAGTGGGTAGCACAGTGACTCCATTATTGTGGCCAGTAGTGGTTTGCACAGTAACTCCATTATTGTGGCCAGTAGTGGGTAGCACAGTAACTCCATTATTATGGATTCCTGAAAATGACATATGCAATTTTCTAAATATCATATGGGTCCTGGGAGTCTTGCATTGAGTCTGATTTAAGGCTGGCCATATCTGTGTCCTCTGTATCCAAATCAGATTCTTGTAGGATTTCTTTTAATTGTGCCTTAAGATCCGATTTGGATGACGATGCCAATAATTCCCTCAGAATTTCTGTAATGTCTTTCTTGGGACTTGGAGGAGGTGGTAGAGGCTCTAGATTAATTAATCCCTTTTGGGAGAAGACTGAATTTTCTGCAAAGAAATCAAACTTGTCCCACCATTTGATTAAAATCCTTCTTCACAGATAAGAGATATTATGAAAAATTTCTCCAAATTTACGAAGGGGCATTTTGGAAATAATAACGTCCCACTTCATAATCCAAGGAACTTGATAGAGGATTGCAAACATTAATCCTGGAGTTTTTAATGATGCATTTGTTTTTATAAAATCATCATAAATTGTTCTGATTTTATCAGGAAGAGTAATAGGATGAAATCCCCAATTATTAAACCACATTAAAAACCATTGTGGTAAAGGAGAACTTTGATCAAAATCTCTAAATTGGAAAAACCAACTGTGCTTTCTTTGTCTGTTCTCATAACAGAAAGCACCATCCCAAGCTTTGATATAATCAAAATAGTTGAACCAAAATTTATTTTGTTCCTTTCTATATTTAGGAAGTTCTTTTAATCTATAAAGGTCTCCATTCCATTGTTCAGGAGTAATTACCTTTTTGAAGAAAGCTTTGGAATAAGCCCATTCACCACCTGTTCGATTAACAAAATCAAATTCTACAGAACCAGTAGAGTCAAGTATTGCATAATAAAAATTGTAATCCTTAGGATAAAGAAATGGGTCTGCAAATTCTTGAAGGTAGAATTTAGCAGCTTCATTAGCAGCAAGATGAGCATATTTAAGCTCTATTGGTGCGATCCATATTGTAGAAATAGGAAGATATGGATAAACGAATTCATTCGTCATATTAGACGATACTGCAATAGCATATGCATCATCTCTAAGTTTGTTTTCTTTTGGCGTGGCCTTTAAGGCTTCTTTTCTTAATTGTTCTGGGGTTTTTCCCACAACATTTTTGTATGAAGGAACCTTATAAGGTTCACCAGTGGCTTTTGCCTTCCCTTTGTCTTTATTCATTCTGTCCCTGCAAGAATTCACGAGTTAAGAAATTAGGTAAGCAATTATCTGATCCTTTTATAAACTCAATATCAAAATCAAAAACGGACAATATGCCTTGCCATCTTGCAAAAATTTGTTTTGATGCAACATTCTTTATGTCTTTTTGAAGTATATCTTTTGCAGATTTACAATCAATTCGTAATAGAAATTTTTGATTTAGCAAATCACTTTCAAATTTTTGTATGCAAAGAACAATTGAAAGGATTTCTTTTTTAACAGTAGAATAATTTATTCGGGGTCCTTTCCAAACTCCTGATGTAAATCTAACAAGAATTTCTTTATTATTAATCCTTTGTTTAAGGATTCCTCCACATCCCAAGTCTGAGGCATCTGTTTCGACAATTTTAAATGCATTAGGATGAGGTAAAGCCAAGCATGGAATTTCCTTAATTTTTGCTTTAATTTTACGAACTGCTTCAGTGTGAACATGTGTCCATTATGGAGGGTTCTTTTTTAACCTTTCAAATAAAGGTTTGGTATCAAATGCAAGATTAGTATAAAAATCAGCAATATAATTTAAACTGCCCAAAAACCTTTGTAATTGATTTTTGTCTTTTATTTCATCCGGAAATTCTTCCGCAAAAGTAATAGATCTTTCAATCGGGATAATAGTCCCTTCTTTAATATTATGCCCTAAAAATCGAGTTTCGGTTTGAAATAATTTTATCTTTTTTGCAGATACAACAAGTCCTGCTTTTGTAGTTGCATTAATAAATGCTTTGAGATGTTTGATATGTTGATCTATTGATTCTGAAAAGATTAATACATCATCGATGTATACTATACAGAAATGTGTAAATGGATTAAAAATATCATTCATTATATTTTGAAATTCATATGGGGCATTTTTTAGCCCAAAAGGCATAACATTTCATTCATAATGTCCAAATGGAACAGTGAATGCAGTTTTATATCTGTCTTCTTCTGCAATTTGAATTTGCCAGAAGCCAGATTTCATGTCAAATTTTGACATTATTTTGGCTGTATAAAGTCTGTTTAATAAATCTCTTTTGTTAGGAATGGGATATCTTATCCATCGAAGAGCTTTGTTCAATGGCTTATAATTTATAACAAGCCTTGGAACTCCTCTCTCAAGTTCAGCATTTTTGTTAACATAAAATGCTGGGCAGCTCCATGGACTATAAGATTTTCTAATTAGTCATTTTTTTTAATAAATCTTCGATTTCTTTTTTACACATTTCTAAATATTCCGGTCCCATTGCTATGGGCCTAGCTTTAGTTGGGATTTGACTTTCTTTAAATTCTGGTTCATATGGTAAATGAACTATATGTTTTTTCCTTTCCCAAAAGGCATTGGGAATATCTGAGCAAATTGTTTGAACAATATGTTCTTGTATTTCTTGTATTTTCTTTTGTATATCTGGTTGCTGAATTTTCTCAGCAATCTTTTTATAAGATATTTCTTTTGTAAGTGAATTTAAAAAACTTTCTTTTCTTTTTATTTGTTTTTGTAAAACATCAATCTCGTGATAACGAGGTTGTGTAGTAAATTGAAATGTTATTTCTTGTGATTTTACAATACTAGTAATACCTTTCTCATCCACATTTTTTATAGGGTAGAGCATGTGTAAGAAAGGATTTCCCAATATAATATCATGGGATAAATTTTTTACCATTATAAATGGCATTTCTATACAAATTCCATTATTGCAAATTGCAGTATTTCGTAACTTATATTTTACTATAAGTTTTCTACCATCTGCAGCATTCAGAATTTCTGAGGTTTTTGAGAAGTACCTAGAAGGTATAAGTCCTTCATTGATGCAATTTAGATCAGCACCAGAGTCAACCATAGCAATTGCAGAGAAGGAATATTCTTTCCAGACAATTATGGTGACTTTGATATGCCATTTGTGAGTGATTACTCTGTCAATCATATTAATATAGGTTAATGAATTTAATCCATCTTTTTCTTGAGAAGTAGTTGGACTAGGTTCTAAGTCTTCCTCTTCTTCTGATTGGTCAGAAATATTCTGAATTCTTTTTAATTCTAATACTGCTATTCTAGATTTAAGAGAGCGTAATTCTGTTTTTAGTTCTTTGACTTCATATATTATTAGTTCACTAATACATGTGTCTTCGGGTTTTTCTTCAGAGTTTTTTACTCTGTTAAGAATTTCTTTTATGTTATAAGCTTCGGGTTCTTTAAAACGAAATTCTTTATCAATATTTCCTTTTTTGGAATAATTCTCCAGATATTTCTGAAGTATTTCTCTTTTCTCTGTAGGATCTGTAATTTTATCTATAATATCAAGAATAAAATTGTCTTCTTTTGTCAGAACAAATAATCCGTTAGCCTGACATAAGGTTTTATAATAGTCGCAATTTCCTTCACAATCAGATTTTTCTGATTCTATTTCTGATTGGTTAGAATCAGATTCATATTCTTCATTTTCATTCTCTATTAGAGATACTTGAAGATTAGTTTTATCATCCTCAGAGTCAGAAAGGAATAATTTTTCCAATGTCTTTTTTAGCCCTTCATCAATAGATAGGCTATTAATTTTCTTTTTCATTTTACACTTATTAGCATAATGGCCAACCTTATGACAACGCCAGCAGACGGGTGTTGTCTTCTGCTTTGATGGTTGGGCACTGTTAGTCCCATGTTTGTGGTCTTTTGACCTTTTCTTTTCTCTCTTTTCTTTCAGGGGAAAATATTTATTTTTAGAAAACTTATTAATTTTAGTTTTCTTTTTCTTTTCAGATGTCTCCGAACGAATAGGTGGTAGTCCCATTTGTTCACAGAAATCTCCTATAATCTTTTTCCCTAGGATTTTATCCTTTTGAATTTGTCTATGTAATTTTATTTCATTACATAGGTTTATTCCTTCTGATGTGATTTCAGAAGCAAGATCACCATAAGTGTAAAGGGAGTAAGGAATAACTCCATTATGTTTTTGCTTAATTCTGTTACGGATTTTTTCAGCAAAGAAGTGTGGTAATCCGGAAATAAATTTTTCTTTCCAAAAATCTTGTTGGCTGTCTGCTCGTGTAAAAACTTTCGAAAAGAATACATCTTTATACCACTTGAATTGGGATAAATTGTGGCATCTTAGATTCATTAATTGTTCTTGAGTTTTATCCAATAATAAGGATGTAGTGCCTATGAAATGTTTGGCTATTGTATATAACAATGTGTTAACACTATCATTAGTATTAATTGGTTGGTTATTAACCATTTCAGTTTTCACTGCCTGAAGTATATGAGCTTTAGCTTCTTCAGGGAGGTAAAAGTCCCACCAACCTTTTAGTTGGCCGGTAAAACCTTGTATTATAATTTTTGC